TGGAATTTCTCCACTGATAGACTGTATATTTATCATTTAATTATTTAATGTTTGTCTAACACCAAACCCCATTTTTCTCAATATTAAGTTGTGCTGTTTATAACAACACACACACACACACACACACACACACACACACACACACACACACACACACACACACATCATATGCCCCTGTGTATTGATTTCACTAAGCTATTTTCCATAAAGTGGGAATGACATCATTCTTTAGAGCAAAAATAACTGTGAATTTCTGTCCGTGGTAGCCATTAAGGGATTATTAGTTTATCTCTCACATTCACTCTTCTGATATTTCTGAGAATTGAATGCAGTTTTATGGTATTATAGGTGCCTGCAGATATCTATCATCACCTTTTTTAAATTTTACAGTGAGTAAATCTCTCTGTGATTTGCCATATTCTTACACATACTGTGCAATTACACATGGCTTGTTATGTTGGACTCAAGTGTATTTTGAATATATATATTTTTTTTTTCAACAGGCACAGCAGGAAATGCAATTGATGTTATATTGTGTGTCACTACATGGAACAGTCACAGATGTTCTAACTATTTTCACAATTAAGATTAGTAGCTTAGTTTAATTTCAGCTCGCTAAATAAGCATGAGCTTGTTCATATATACAATGAGCAAATTTCATCTGCTTCACCTGCCCTCATTGCTCAGTCTTAACATGTAAGTACATTTTATTTATATAGCACATTTAAGCACAGCGAAGCGGACCAAAGTGCTGAACAGAAAAAAACAAGTCCATCAACATGTCCATCTTCATGCTAAACTCTCAGTCTATACAAAGTGTCAAACTTCACTGCAGCTCATTTCTAACTGGTTCAATGGATAAAACATGTTACAACCCTCCTTATCTTGAATGGAAGAAAACGTGGAAGAAAAACTGCAGCAAAGTTTCTATTTTTTGTCTCTCGCCTCATTTCTAGATGGATCAGTGCTTGTGGAAATGCTATTTCTGTTTCACTAGGCACTCTGAAAGTATGGCATCTGTGAATTGCTTTGGGAGAGTGTGTGTGAGGGAGAGATAGTGTAAAAGAGGAAGTTGTGGCAGCACTCTGAGCTTTGTGTTCCTGCTCTTGGCACCAACAGAACAGCATCACTCATCTCTTCCAGTCACTCTCTCCCCTCTATTCTAGCACTTTATCATGGCTGAATATTCGTTAATCATATCACATAGCACACTCAGTAAGATGATATGAAATATAAGTCATGACGGGATATTGATGAACCGATCTACTGCAGGCATTTAAACTGATTACTAACCTTGAGGAAACCAGCAAGAGAGATAGATGGTAGATGAAAAAATAAAAGACATTGAAAAGACATAAATGATCTTGTAGATTAAACAAAAAAAAGGTAATTTGAACATGGTTATTATTTAAAAAAAACTAGCGTGCCAGTGGTATCATAGGCCCGTGGTCTCCTATGTGAGTATATGTTTGGTAATCTGTGACGTGTTTTTGTGTGTCTGAATCCTGACACCCTGGTCTAGTTGGATTTGGTTTTTGACATTTATCAATACTGCTCTTTATACAATACAGATAGTTTCAAAGCAGATTCACATTAATAAATGGGGAAATAACAGTGTTAATGCTGTAAAATTCAATTCAGCTATAAGGAGCTCTAAAGAAAAGAATAGTGTCATTATTCAGCTCAAGCCAGCTCAATGTTGATTCAATTCAGTTCAGTAGCAGTTGCAAATTTGTCTTGTCTTGACGAATAGAGTTGCTTAATATGGTTGTTCAGAGGTTGTGCTTGTTTACCTTTCAACAACCTTTTGACATCACTGCTCCAGTATGTGTTCGGATGAAAGAAACAAACTACAATTTAAGTTCTATAAATTAGGATTTTTTCTAGTTTTAGAATATTTTTTACTAATTTATTACATCAAAAATCTGTTATGAAATTATAACTTTAATTACACCGTCATATGAACAATCATTCAGTAGACACATACAGAAACTGTTCGAATCGAATTGAAAAATAACATGCGACTCAGTCAGAGAGTCGGTTGCAAATAAGTTACAGTACTGAATGATTCACCGAGTTAGTAAAAAGAACCTGTTCATAGGAGTCATTTGTTCGCGAATTGAACATCACGGCTCGCGTTATGTTCGTTCTGCGTGCTGTAAACAAAGGGAAGCTAAAAATATAATAAACTAACGTTATCTCGCGAGATGATAGCTTGATTAGACTTTAAGCTATTATCGCAAATGTTTATTTTTTGTATCCCTTTACCGTAAACCCAAAAACCAACTAATGTAAAAACACTGTCTGACTTTGGGGTGCTGTAATAAAGATAATCTCTCTTTTAGGTCAACCCTTTCCTGATCGATGAAAGAAACCATGCCAGTCCTCTCTGCAGGAGCAGGTGTGCTGCACATCTATAAAAACACACTTGTATGTATGTATAATCAGAATACTGACACTCACTCTGATCTCTTGTTCGCATGTAGGGTTGCATGAGACGCTTGCCCTGCTGACCTCACAGCTGCGTCCAGATGCCAATCACAAAGAGGACATGGTCTTCCTCAAGGATGTCTTCAGTGAGAGGAGTCTCAGCTATCTGATGAAGGTGTGTGTCATTAATGCAGGGCTTTGCACTGAAGTCACCTCACATATGCAGCATCATATATTATAAATTATTTACAGCATGCATGATTTACCTTAGCTTATTTTTAAAGGTATGGCCGCAAATATGTTCGAGACCAATCATCTCCAGCTCTGTATACATGTGCATTGTGCGTGTCTTTGCTAGATCCATGAGAAGTTGCGTCAGTACGAAAGGCAGAGCCCCACCCCAGTTCTCCACAGTGCCTCCACTCTGGCAGAGGATGTAAGTGCTGCAGTCTGTCATAGAAAGATTAATGCGTCTTTTACAATAATATATGAGAACAGAGTTTAATGGTATCTGGGGGGAATGAGGAAACCCTAAAATGTTTGACTCAGCAACTTTGGTGTGCCTCTAATTTAGCCATACTCCAGGGACAAATTTGCTAAAAAAATATATCCATAATTTCTTTTTTATTTTATAAAAAAAAAAATAATAATAAAGATCTAAAATAGTAATAATCATTTATTTAACAAATAACAATTGAAACATAAATAACATTTATATAATATTATAATGTACACTAACAGTCAAAAGTTCAGAATAATTACTTTTTAAAATGTGTTTTCAAAGAAGCCACTTATGCTCACCAAGGCTGCAATTATTGGATCAAAATTTTAAAATAATTTTGACATTATTTTGAAATATGAATACAATTTAAAATAGTTGTTTTCTATTTGAATAGATTTTGAAATATAATATATTCCTGTTTTTAGAATGATTTCTGAAGGATTATGTGACCCTGAAGACTGGAGTAATGGCTGCTGAACATTCAGGAATAAATTACATTATAAAACATATTCAAACAGAAAACAGTTGAAAGTAAATTGTAATAATATTTCACAATATTTCTGTTTATTTATTTGGTCAAATAAATCCAGCCTTGGTGTGCATAAGATTAAAAAAAAGATGTAATTATTCCAAACTTTTGTCCCGTAGTGTATATAATTGTAAAGATTTATAATATTTTGAATTGTTTTATTTGATAAAATGATAAGCCTATTTTTAAAGTCAGCTATTTGATAGCTTGTTAAATGCTTTGATTTTCGTCTATCACTGATTGGTAGGTGGCAGAGGAGTTGCAAAGTGGACCAATGAGTGCTGAGGAAAAAGAGCTGCTACATTTGCTGACGTCACCACATCTCAAGGTACAAACAATATTTTTACTGTTAGACCTTCATGATAACTGTTAGTCAAAAATAAAATCTAGATATCTAGATAAATCTAGCTCTAGATAAATCTAGCTCCTATCCCTCCTGCATTGGTAGGCGGTTTTGTCAGTTCACGACACGGTGGCACAGAAGAACTTTGACCCAGTGCTGCCTCCTCTCCCCGATGACTTTGAGGATGAACTAGATGAGGAGTCTGTCAAGATTGTCCGCCTAGTCAAAAACAAAGAGCCGCTGGTAAGAGAATTAAACACTGCCAGTTGCACAAATACAGTGACTCTAAAAATATTAAGACACTTGAACTGTTATTTTAGTATTATTTATATATTATTATACTATTTGATAATATTTTGAATAGGTTTTATTGTTACGTTTTCAGTTTTCATTTAAATTTCAGTTGTAGTTTTGCCAGTTCGTTGTGCTTTCATGTTGTAATTTTTATGATTTTTACAATATATTTTATTTGGTTTTAATTAATTTTTATTTCAGTTTTAGTAACTTTAATACTTAAAATAAGAAATGTTGCCTTGGCAACTAAAGGAAATAAATGTAAGTTACATTTAAATAAAAGTTCAGGATGCAAGACAATTTGGTCCATCAGCATTTTGATCCATCATAAATCTCTCAGGGTGCCACTATTCGGCAGGATGATTCCACAGGGGCCGTGATTGTGGCTCGGATCATGAAAGGAGGGGCTGCAGACAGGAGTGGTGAGTGACACTTCAAAAAATTTGTCTTCAATCTTGCGGTCTCGGTTTACTCCATGCTCCAAATATACACCTGAGAATCTTTTTTAATTACCATTGAGTATATCAGTGGAACACCAGTGCAGTCTTCAAAGGTTCTATTCATCTCTAAACCCATTGAAGTGTCAGAATATCCTGCATCTCTACTGAGTGTGCTAGATATGATTATTTTTACCTCACTCTGTGATGAGCACTAGACTGCATGTCTGTTGCAATGACACATGGCCCATCTTTGTGGTCAAAGAGAGTCTCCAGAGACTCAATCAAGGGAATCAAACAGACTCACTAACCACCTGACCACAGCTGTTGCCATGGAAATATAGTGTGTGTGTGTGTGTGTGTGTGTGGTGGGAATGATCTTTTTGGTCATTAAAATTCATTGAACTACGCCTATAAAGTGTATTATGGATCACACACAGCAGGTACAGCTTGAACATGTGGTAGTGAATCTGTAAATCAGGTAGTCCTCCTCTGTCCTCAGGTCTGGTGCATGTCGGTGATGAACTGAGAGAGGTCAATGGCAGCTCTGTAATGCACAAGAGACCAGATGAGATCAGTCAACTACTGGTAATACTATTCTCCTAGACCTCCTTCACATTCATTAGGTATAATTCATTGCAAAAACAAAAAACAAAAAAACACATAAACACAGAATTAACAACTCCTGCTTCCTAAATTTCTTGTTAAAGAGTTTTCCTATCATCAAAGCATTTTATTCTATTCACACAAATATGCAAATCCTGTCATAATTTACTCACCCTCATGTCTTTCAACTTTTGTTCTTGTCCTCATGTACGATTGTTGTTCTTCTGTAGAACATAAAATAATATATTTAAAAAAAAATTCTAGGTCCATATAATGTGTCTATAAAATATATTTATTTTCTTTGCCTATTTAATGTGTTTGCTATCATTTTATTATAATTATCTTATGTAATATAATATAATAATATTATTTCACTTTTTTCTCAGCAAATGTTGATTGTGAACAGTTCAGTTAATTAATTGCCATATCATATAATGCATTGTTTAAAAAAAGTTCAATCAATTGACAGTCCTAATAAAATCAAACCATAATCATTCCTGTTTATTGTCATAATAAGAGAAGTAATTTAACTGTTTTTTTTCTTTCTTAGTCTCAGTCACAAGGATCTATCACATTGAAGATCATCCCAGCAATCAAAGATGAGGACAAGCTGAAAGAGAGCAAGGTAATTGACTATAAAACGGCATAAAACCTTGTAATTTATCAGTAATCAGTCCAGCATCTCTCCAGTTTTTTCTCTTGTTCACTGGGTTTGCATCTTGTTCATACCATGTGTTTTCTTCAGGTCTACATGCGAGCGCTGTTTGATTACACTCCATTGGAGGACAAAGCCACGCCATGTCAGGAGGCAGGGCTTCCATTTAAACGAGGAGACATCCTGCAGGTGGTCAGTCAGGATGATCAGACGTGGTGGCAGGCCAAGAGAGTGGGAGATTGCAACCTGCGTGCAGGACTCATCCCATCCAAACAGTTTCAGGAGAGGTGAGACAAAACATCTAAAAAACACACACCCTACTACCTTAAAACTGTTTAGTTTTCAGGAAATCAAGACATATTTTAGTAGCCCTGCCCAGTTAATCGATCAATCAAATCAATCAATAAACAAACAAACTACTCAGCTACTTGTACCATTTAACCTAGACTGACCAGCAGGGGCGTCATTAGTGTAGGGAAAAGGGTGAGTGCATAGGCCCAGAGGTTGACAGGGAGGGCCTAAATTATTAATGAATATAATTATATAACCTTAATTAATTCTAAATTATTCTCCCTGTAGGTTTTATTAGACATAGATTGGCCAGCCTGCCTTTTTGTCCCCTCTTTCATCTCAGCGGGTTGCATCTTAGCTATACTCTCATGCTAAGAATGGGAGCATTTTTTTCTCACCGTTTAATTTTTTTGATCTCGCTTAATAGTATATTTGATGGCTCCAGAGACAGGAATATCCAGTCAGACTAGTACAAAACATTATTGTCAAGCGATTTGATGCTTTTCCACTGTTTGAAGTTCTCCCCATATGGTTTTTCCCCTCAGGCGGTTAGCCTACAGAATAAAAATGGGCACCCTTCAAAGCTCAAAGTGTCCAAAAAAAGCTGTCTGTGAGTATTTCAGTAATTCTTCCTTCCTTACGGAAAACACCTTCAGTTATTAATCAGTGTTGACTAACGGGAGGCATAATTTGCTGATGTGTGTGCTTGTGTGAAGTGGCCAGGTGATTACTGAGCTCCAACCAAATGCTTCATGTTCACTAATCTAAAGAGAACAGACACATCTACAGTTAAGCTAAATGCATAATGCACCCTTCTCACTTGCTCTCTCTCACAGACTCTCATTATGTGCATTATATCTGTTCCTCTTCTGCTTCTTCCTTAATTACTCCATCAGTGTGTGGGTCTTCACTGCTGGACACACTTTGACCTGCAAGATGTGGGAATGATGGAATTTATGAAACTCCCTATTTAATAAATAAACTTCAGGGCCAGTGTAGCATCTTTTCCAATTCAGAGTAAATGAAGTCTGCAGTTTTGGTTTCTTTTGTCATGATATCTTTTCCTTTTCTTATTACTGCTGACACCAGATGACCAGGGATGTGACAAAGGTGGGTCTTCTAGACCTGGGTTCACACATTCACCCTCAAATACACACACAACACACTTGTATTGGTTCCACAGTGATTATGAAATTAGGCCAGTGTGTCACCTAATCTATTAATTCCTGGACAGAGACAACTGCTGTTCTACTGTACACACACACACACACACACACACACAGACACACAAACACACACACACACACACACACACAGACACACACACACACACACACACACACACACACATTCAATGAGAGAGAGGCTTTGATGCATGACTCTTTCCAGGAATAAGGTATACTTTGATGGTCCAAATCACACAAAATGTATTGCCTCATATAAAATGAACCTAGCATGACAAGTAGCTAGTTTTATAAGAATCAAACGTCTGTATTTTCCCTTAATGTTGATATTGGCCCGTCCCACTTTAGAGATCTTGACCTTTTTTTTCTGAGATTCTCACTTCACTCCATTTTCCATCTTTTCCCTTATCAAGTCTTTTCTTAATACACTATCAACTACTGTTCTGAGATCTCAAACATCACGTCACTTTTCTTCTTCAATCCTTTCTTTATTCTCTTCCTAAAGGTGCACTCAGTAATACTTGTGTTTTATACTGAAAGAAATCATTTAAAATCATGTGCACTGGAGATGAAGACAATCAGTAGCCTAATAAAAATAAATATCTAAATATTCACTACTGTTCAAAATTTTTGAGTCTGTAAGATTTCTTAATGTTTTTGAAATAAGTCTCTCATGCTCACCAAGGCTGCATTTATTTGATCAAAATACAGTAAAAACAATAATATTGTGTAATAACTGTTAAAATAACTGTTTTCTATTTTAATATATTTTAGTTTATTCCTGTGATGCAAAGCAGCAGTCATTACTTCAATCTTCAGTGTCACATGATTCTAATAAGCTGATTTTATGCTCAAGAAACATTTCTTCTTATTAATGCACAATTCAATATTTTTATGAAAATGTTGATACATTATTTTGCTAAATAGAATGTTTAACTGCATTAAACAGCATTTAAATATTTTGTAACATTATAAAAGCCTTTATTGTCAAAAATAAATAAAATATAAATAAATAAAAAAATGTAAATAAATAAAATCTTATTGACCCCAAACTGTTTCAATTGTAGCTAACTAACTCATGGGGGTCTTGTTGAGACCAGCACATTTTGCTTTTGCATAATACTACATTAACACTGTTAGGTGTCAGTGTAAGTCCTAAACAACTGGCATTATGGCCAGTGCAACAGAAACACAAAATTACTGAGTACGCTACAAATATTTCCAGTTTTCATATAATGTCTATAGCTCTCAGGTGATGTTATATTCCATTAGTATGTTTTTAATCTTTATCACCTTTTCTCATGATCTTTTTCAATCTAAGGGCCTGTTTTCCATTTACTGTAGGTTATAAACACTCATTGTCCCACTTAACCACACAAGTGAATCCTAACATTTATACACTATCACACCATTATATTCTTCCTGGCAAATAACAAACCCCTGGGTTGGCCACGCCCACCACAGACTACTGAAATACGTGCCGCCTGCCTGCCTGCCTAACTGTTGAACCTGCTTTTGTAACTGTAGTTCTGCAGCCCTCCTTCCTCTCTCTTGGTCTCCTCTGCTCACTCCCTCTCTCCCTGCTTGCCTCCCTACAGAAGACTGTGACTGTGAGGGCTATTTCAATGGACAGTACATAGGTGAGATCTGCTAAATGTACTAAACTTCTGCCTGAGTGAGCTTCTATTACTGCCTGCCTGTGTGCCAAGAGCTATGGCCAAGCCCTTGATGAGGGGAGGCCGGATTGGGGGGCGGGGTGTTGGTATTTGGCAGTGTGAAGGGAATTTTAGGTCAGTCAAAATCTTTCATTGTGAAGAAACCAATTTGGAGTGGTGCACTGATGCCTTTGAAAGAAAGAGTGGAACCTGGTTGCTATTTTTGTTTACACCTTTGATTTAACTTAGTATTAGAAAGAGTATGTGAGTGGAGCAGAACGACAGCAATTTCCCCTCAGTAATCACTCCACTGCAGCTCCTTTTATTCGGAAAGAATGCATTAAATGAATCAAAAGTGACAGTTAGGACATTTATGGTATAAAGGATTTCTATTTCAAATAAATGCTGTTCTGTTGAACGTTTTTATTAATCAAGGATCCTGGGGGGGAAAGGGATCATTTGACATTGAAGACTGGAGTAATGACTGCTGAAAATTCAGCTTTTACATCACAGGAATAAATTATATTATATAATTTATATATAAAATATTAAATTAGAAAACAGTTATTTTAGATTGTAATAATATTTCACAATGGTAATGATTTTAATGGTAATCCTTTAATCAAATAAATTCAGCCTTGGTGAACATATAAGTCATCTTTCAAAAAATTTTAAAAATCTTAATTATTCTACACTTTTGACTGCTAGTACTATAAGTGAAATAAGTGCAGTTTTTGTACCATTGTGAGGAAAATGGATGTATATGATGTGAATAGAGTACACAATCACGAAAAAGTGCAGAATTACCAACAAATCTATGACCATTTTCACACGTTTTTCACACTTTTCTGTCAATGCCTTTCTGATAATAAAATACATTATTAAATTATAAATCATAACATTTTAAATTATTTTCATTTTAAATCTAAATGTATTTTAATTATGCGTTTAAAATATTAATTATAAATTAAATTAATTTAAAATAATATAATTGATATATTATTGTATTTGTATAAATACTTTTTTTTTTTAGCTATTAGTCCGTAATCACTGTTTTGCACTTGATGAATTCTTGCTCACATACAGTATAGCTCTGCGTTATGTCCATGATGGAGATATATTGGAGTGGATTTGGAGGGATTGAGAACACCAATACTCCAATTTACAAATAAAAACATCATTGCTCTAGGCAATATCATGCTATGCACCACTCACATACCCTGACAATACAAAGAAAGACAGGGTTTGTCATCCCTCTGAGTTAAAAGTGTTAGCAACATGTCTGGCATGTTTCAAGTCTCATTAGTTAATGAGTGCTAATTTGAGGAGCTGTTAAAAGAGTGAAGAAAAGGAAGTGATATTCAGTTAATATAGTGTTAGATATTTCATTCACAGGCTATCACTGTATTTTCACAATGTGTAGCAGCTGCAGAAATCTGTGTCAGTAGGGACGACCGACAAGATGACAGCTTTTCATCTTCATATCTTCACTTTCTCTCTGACACCAGTGTCTCTTTCTTATGATCTGTGAAGAGTTTTGATACTGTGACTTTCTGTGGGTGGCGTGAATAAGTATTGCTATGATATTTGAAACATTGAAGCAAATTATCAGCGCAGAAACTTTTTTGCTCACTAACTATCTGGAATTTTTTTTTCCAAGTAATAATTACGCTGAGATAGCATGTGCAGTGATTATTTAAATTTCTGCAATTATGCCTCCTTTTTTAATCTACATAAGGCTTATTATGGATTGCGCCTTATTATACTATTTCTGCCCATGGAAATCCCAATTTTATTAGAAGTAGATTTTTTTTTTTTGAAAGAAATGTATACTTTTATTCAATAAGGATGCATTAAATTGACCAAAGGTAACATAAAAGACATTTATATTTTTAAAACAATTTTTATTTTAAATAATATTAAGCAGCAAAACTGTATTCAGCATTGATAATTGTAATAAGACATGTTTATTGAGCAGCAAATCAGCATATTAGGATGATTTCTGAAGGA